GAGAGTCTATGTCCCCTTTAACGAAAGGAAGAGGATTTGAACAATGGATGGTGGAGAAGTGACTAGCAAACATGCATGGGAAGCTAATGAAGCTGCATGCTTCTTCAGAAAACTCTATTTTTGCAAATTCATCTTGATGTTAAGTCCTCCTTCTGATGATAAGAACAGCTTTTCTGGGGGTGAGAGACGGGTCAGTGGTTAAGAACACTATCGGTCCTTGCAGAGAGCCAGGTTCAGTTCCAGTACCCACACTGTGGTTCACAACCATCTTTAACTCAGATCCCCTGAATCAAACAAAAATATAGAGAACTCTTACCATTTCTGTTGATTTTCAGTTGCCTTCAGCTCTGTGTAAAAATAAACTTAATTTGTGGTAACACATTCATTCACTCTGCCCTACTCTTCAACATCCAAGACCAGAAATCTAGCAAGATCGCTAGCAGCAATCTCTATGTTTCCTGTGCCTGGTAATACCCCTGTCCAAAAAAAATAATCTTGACCATGAACCCAGATTTTCTCCTATAGAGAAAATCAGTATGCAGAAAGTGGTAAATAGTTGAGGATGCTCCTGACTCACTGGTCTGGCTTCCCTAAGGCCTGTTTGAACTTCCTGGAACTGCACTGCATAATGGTTAGATCCCCTTGTACTGAGTGATTCAAGCATTTCTGTTACTTGTAGTCAAAAGGCTATTGACAGAGATACTGTCTCTGCTTCCATGACTTGTCCAAGGACCCCTGGGGTCTGAGTTGCTGACTCAGCAATCTGGTTTCCATCCTGGAGCTCAGCTCTTGAAAAGATGTCCTAAGGTGGCTCCACACAGAATCAGGGTACAATTAGTGGAAGAGTCTGCAGCAGCATCTTGGTACTGTTCCAGGGCCTAGAACAGAAGCCGTGGTGTTCAGAGAGGTCTCTCCCAGAAGCAACAATAGCAATGGCTGTCATTTATCCAGTGCTCATCCCGTATGAGGCACTATGTAAGGTATTATAATGATTTTCAACTTTTAAAACAATCAAGTTGAGGTTCTAGGGAGATGGATCAATTGGTGAGGTGCTCACTGCACAAGATAAGGACCTAGGTTCAGATTCCCAGTATCCACATTTAAAAGAAGTTAAGCAGGCAGCTTCCAGCCATGGGTGGATCCCTGAAGCTTGCTGCCTAGGCAGTCTTGGTGAATCAGTGAGCTCTAGGTCCTATCTCAAAAAATAAGATGGAAGCCAGGTATAGTGGCACACACCTTTTTCCTGGGACTCCTGAGGCAGAGGCAGGTGGATCTCTGTAAATTCAAGGCTAGCCAGAGCTACATAATGAGACCCTGTCTCAAAACAAAACAAACAAATAAGCACAAAGGTCTGCTATCCCAAGACTCATTCAACATTCTGCACTGCTACCAGAAGCCCTTCACATTGGGTTTCACAGAAACCAGTCTAATGCCATTAACCATCCCAGCTAGCCATGACACCATTAAGAGCTCCAGTCCAGCCACTGTGCCTCCACCTGATCTGGGCTCTGGGCTGTGGGCTGGGAGAGTATCTGGTTGTTTACCAGGAATTTGGACCTTCTTCAGAGAAAAGCACAGATGACCTATTAGTCTAATTCAAGCACTTAGCAAGGAATGACTGTACCATTCACACCCCCAGGCCCAGGCTAATGGAGCCAAAGCAAATGGAGAGGCCTTGACTGTTCAGAAATCTCCCTGGGAGGAGAGAAAGAAGGAAGGCGGGTAGACCCTGTGCCCCCACTGGAGTTTGCAGGGAGGCAGCTTGGCTGAACATTTCCTGGGCTGGGCAGGCTATGAGAATACAAGAATAAGCAGGGAAAGGCTTGCCTATTCCACCCACACTACTCTGGCTGTGTGTGTGTGTGTGTGTGTGTGTGTGTGTGTGTGTGTGTGTGTGTGTACAGGAACACTCATCCACTCAGATCAGAGGATAACTTACAGGAGCTGATTCTCAAATCCTACCATGTGGGTCCCAGGGATCAAATTCAGGTCATCAGGCTTGCCGGGAAACTCTAATTCCAGGGAATCTTGATGCCCTCTTCAACCTCAGTGGGCACCAGGCATGCATGTGATGCACATACATACATGTAGGCAAAACACTAATACATATGAAATAAAATATTTTAAAGTAAAAACAAAAAAACAAAACCAGTGGCTGGGGACATACTCCAGTGGCAGAGTACTTAGCATGTGTGAGGCCCTTGGTTCAATTTTCATCATAACACACACACACAATTTTAGACCAGAGAAAAATGGAAAGTGCTCTGGTTTAATCTGATTTGTCTCCACAGAAAGCCCCTTTGAAGTTCAATCCCCACTGTGAGATACTTAAAAAGTGGAGGCTGTGCATGGTGGTGCACACACATCCCAGAACTTGTAAGGCAGAGGCAGGAGGGGCTCTGTGAGTTTGAGGCCAGCCTGCTCTATATAATGAGTTCTAGGCCAGCCAGGGCTGCATAGTGAGACCCTGTCTCACCTTTCCCAAAAAAGAAAGTGGAAACAATCCAAGTTTGGTGTTTAGAAGTGGAACCTTTGAGAAGTGATCAGATAAGATCATCAGGGGAGTGCCTCCATGATTGAATACTGGCAGAGAGAGAGAGAGAGAGAGAGAGAGAGAGATTCTACCAGCAAAGTCATTACCAGAGATAGTCCCTTGATCTTAAACCATAAGTAAACCAAATAAAACTTTTTTTTGAGGCAGGGTTTCTCTGTGTTGCTTTGTAGACCAGGCTGGCCTCAAACTCACAGAGATCCGCCTGCCTCTGCCTCCTGAGTGCTGGGACTAAAGGCATGCGCCACCAATGCCCGACTAACCCATGGTCTTCTTGACTCAGCTTCCTGGTAGCTGAGATTACAGGTATGTGCCACCATGCCTGGAGAAACCTCTTTTCCCTCATAATTTACTAGATCTGTGATATCGTGTTATCAGAAATAAAAGATGGACTAAGTAGGGGCAGAAGGATCAGGAGTTGAAGATCATCCTCACATCTCCAAGTTCGCCTGGAGTTGGAGACAAACCTTGGCTACAGGAGATCCTATCTCAAAAACCAAGCAAACACGTTCTCACTACCAACACTGACCACCTGAATTTGAACTCTGGGACTCACATAAATGGTGAGAAGTGATTCCTTCAAATTGTCCTCTGGCCTCCATACATGTACCATACAATTTCTATTTGCTCACATACATTAAAAAATTAAAAACAAAACCAAATATTCATGAGTTCAGAACTGGTCAAACAAGCTGTGCATATGAACGTACACCATACAAGACCATGGTGTGCAGCGAAGAGTAGGCCCAGCTCAAGCTCCATTCACAGTTGCTGCAGTATGTTTGGGACTTTCACTTGAATGTGCAGCCCTTCACACATTTCAAAACATGCCCCTAACCCTCATGTTACATGTGGAAGTTTGAGAATGAGGACTTACAGATTCTCCTTTCTTCTTCAGAACTGTCTGTATTGTCTGGACTGCTTCCTATACCATACATCACAAATGCTCATTTTTACTATGTGTCAGACACGATGCTTTATGAGATGTACCTTATTCCTTATAAGGTGCAGCCAATGCTTTTGTGTGTTACAGATGTGCTCAGAGAGGCCCAGACCAGGGTTGCACAGGCTCTTGATTGACAAAGTCAAGACTTGTTGAGAATGCATCAGTTATATTTCCATCGCTATGGCAAAATACTTGACAGTCAACTTGGGGAAGAAGAATTTATTTTGGCTCAATTTGAAGGGATGGAAATCCATTGTGTTAGTAGGAGCTTGTAGCTATGTTGGCAGGAGCATGAGGCTTGCTTCCATAGCAGCAGAAATGGAGCAAAGATGGAGAGTGTCTATCCTGAGACCTGCTGTAGAGATGCTCTTCCTCCCGTTTCTCCTCACCTCTCCAAAGTTCTA